CCCCAGCACCACAGCGGTGCGGTGTATTCAACCTGCCCCTTCATCATCCCCACACGCAGGTCCGCTGCTATGTGGGCGACAACGAGGAGCGGTGGTTTATGTGGTACAGCGGCGCCAGCAGCAGCAGCAGCAGCAGCAGCAGCAGCAGTGGCGGCGACAGGCCCTCCCAGCCGCCGCCCCCCGGCCTCTCCGGCGTCGCGCCTGGCGCCGGCAGCGTCGGCGTCGCAGTCAGCAGCGACGGCGTCACCTGGACCCGCGGCGGCGGCGCGGTCGCGGGCGCGCGCGGCGCGGGGCGCGCGGCGGACGTCGGGATGTGCCTGACGCCGACGGGCGCCGAGTACTGGTGGACCCTCGATACCTGCCACCTGGCGGTTTCGGACGTCCAGGTGGGAGGTTACGGTGGGGAGGGGTTACACAGGGGCGCCGGCTCGGGCTGATGCGAGGAGGGGGCTGCGGCGAGCCGTGATGGGGCGCCGGGGCGTTATTGCTGGGCTGACGAGGCGTGCCTGCCAGGAGTAGGCTGGCCAAGCCCCAGAGCAAAGGAGGGGGGGGAACGTCAATGGGGACTGGCTGGTGGAACGTGGGCGTCCCGTCAACCGCCAGCATTCCTGCCGAGCCTGCCCCCCGCCCCAAGCGGCGGCGCCGCCGCCGCCCCTGCCGCCCCAGCTGCAGCAGCGAATCGCGCGCCTGCGCCCCCCGCCGCCGCCCGCGCCGCGCCCGGCGCTCCGGCAGAGCGGCCTCAGCCGCCTTCCCCCACCCACCCCCGAATCACGCCCCCAGGTGTTCTCCAACAGCAGCGTGAGCTCCGGCGTGGGCGTCTATTGGATGTTCTACACAGGCGGCGACTTCTCGCCGCTGCCGGCCCCGCAGGGCCTGCCGGGGGCTGAGGCGGGCGCGGAAGTCGAAGGGTTGCGCATGCGGCCGGGGCTGGCCATGAGCCAGGTGGGGGCCAAGGGGGGGGTGCTGCGGTGGGGTGGTGCGGGGACGGATGAGGCGACGAGTGGGTGTGTGCTATCGAGGGTAGGGTTGGGAGGGGCTCGGGTCATAGGTTGGAATTGAGGACATGATAGGTTGAGGGCTACCGGCTTGTGGCGGCGCGTGGGGTGCGGTGTGGTTAGGAAAATAGCAGTCAGGCCGCGGGGCATTATCCATGGCCCCAGCACACATGCGGCGTGCGGCGGCCTCTTGCGCACGCGTGGAGGCCGCCCCGGCGCGGCGATGAGGGGCAGGCGGCGAGCCGTGCGCGCCCGCGGCGCATGGGCTGGGCCTCTGGGGCGTCCCCACGAGTATTCCCAGGGCGCCCTGCTCGCGCATGGTCCTGAATTCAATGCCGCTGCACCCGCCGCACCCCCCAGGACGGCCGCAATTGGGCGCGCATCGAAGGGGAGCACCACACCGGTGCGCGCAGCGCCGGGCTGGGGGGCGGATTGCGGGCGGGAGGGCGCTTGCCGCTCCAGCCGCGGGCCTCCAACCGGCGATCACGTCGCTACTGGCACAGGCCCCCATCAGGCGGGGCATCTCAGGCCCCATCCTGGCACCCGCACACACCCTCGCACCGGCAGCCGCCCTCAAAAACCTCCCTGCCTCCCAACCCTCCCTGCCCCCCGCAACCCGCCGCCATCCGCCGCCTGCCGCCTGCCGCCGCCGCCGCCTGCAGGGGCGCTGTTTGACGCCGGCGAGGCGGGGGAGTGGGACGCGCTGTTTGCCGGCCACCCCTGCGTGGTGGCCGCGGGGCCCCGGGACATGCGGATGTTCTATCACTCATGGGACGCATCGAAGGGCAGGTGGGGCAGGATTTGGGGGGGGGGGCCGCGTTGCTGCCGGATGGGGGTGGTGGGTGTGGTGGGTGGCCGTGCAGGGGAGTGCGGGGGCGGCCTGCTCCGCACCTCATTTGGTTTGGGGGCATTCGGGGTAAACTGGGCTGGGTGGTTTTTTCGCGTGGGGTTGTGAAGGTGTCGTGCTTACTCAGCTACACGCTCTCACCCGTATCTTAACACACGCGCTCACACTCGCACCCGCGCGCACGCACACACATACACACACTCAGCCACATGCGGTGTACGCATCTCACCCCACCACGCCCCCGCCACTCCATACCGCTTCCTCCCGCTGAATTGAATGGCCGAACCTGGCCCCTTCCAGCCCCCACCTAACCCACCTAGCCCCACCTAACCCCCACCCCCAAACCCCACCCAAACCCCCCAGGTTTGTCATAGGCCTGGCCACATCACCTGATGGCTTCAAGTGGACGAAGCAGGGCCCGGTGTTTGACGGCAGCCGGGAGCAAGGCGTGCACGACGAGCTGGGGGCGGCGGCCTGCACCGTGGTGCGTGGGGCGGGGGCTAGGGGGTGGGAGGTTTGGGGGCGGATGGAGGGTGTTGGGGTGGTGGCGGGTGTGGATGGGTTTCGGGCAAGGTGGGGTAGGTGTGTTGGGGGGCAGGCGATTGCCTCAGGGGGCGGGGGGCAGGGCAGGCATGAGGGCGGGATGCATTTTCAGGGCTTCGGGGCATGGCCCTGGCCACCCCTTTGCGACGACCACGCCTGCTGCCCGCCTGCCGCGTCGCACCTCGTTGCTGGCGCCGCCCCCAAAACCAGCCGCAACCAAAGCTGTGGCCCCGGAAGCCCCTGTGTGACCCCCCATGAAGCCCTGCCTGATCCCTCAAACCGCCCCTGCCAGGTCGTGGATCCGGACAACCGCCGCTTCCTCATGTTCTACGAGGCCGTCGCCGCCGACGGCACCCGCAGCATCGGCGCAGCCACCAGCCGCGACGGCCGCACCGGCTGGGCCCGCGCGCCCGCGCCGCTGCTCGCGCCGTCGGCCGAGCCCGGCGCGTGGGACGGCGGCGGCGTGGGCGCGCCGTGCGCGGTGCCGATGGCGGGCGGGCGGTGGAGGCTGTATTACGCGGGCCGAGCCGCCGTGGACGGCGGCGACGGCGGCGGCACGGGGCCATGGGAGGGGATTGGGCTCGCCCTCAGCGCGCAGGGGGCGGCGGACCCGACGGCTCAGCCGTTCAAGCGGCGCACCGGCGCAGCGGGGCCCGCCGCCCAGGTTTGAGGGCGTGCGCGCGCCCGTGCCGCTCGTTGGATGGGTGCCGCGGCCGTGCTCGCAGGTCTCCCTGGTCCGCGCCGACCCTTCCCAGGGGGGGTATGGCGGCGCCCCGACCTGCGCTGTGGGCGTCTCACGACCTGTGATGTCCCCATGTATTGCACAGCCCCTCCATTGCTTGCGGCAGCGTTGCGCGCTGTGTCCCCCTGGCTCAATCCAATGCTTCAGACCAGCAACGTCACCTGCAGCGTTTTTTCGCGTTTTGTTGTGCAGGGATGCCTGCTTCTGGTGAAACGTTCTGCGACAACTCTGATCTTTTTGCAGCACGAAGGCAGCTTCCCCTTGGCTACCCCCCTCTTATCGGGGACCCCTGCGCCTTGATCCCGCCTGCCGACCACGCCTGGGTGGGCGTGCAGACGGTCGTCCGTCCACGCCTGCTTGCCTGACCATCACGCTTTGAACCTCCACCCCTTATGTGTCTCAACTGATGTGTAAGCGGCTCACCCACCCCTGTGCGCATCTGTGTGTGCGAAGCCTTCCTGCTGCAGCGGCGCTACATGTACAAAAGCCTACCAGATCTGTACAGCATTACCCGGCCCTAACCAAAAACGCACTCAAAACACACGCAGCGCGCCAGGGCGCCTGGTCGCTAGCAGACCACGGGCACCGGCGAGCGCGCGCGCGCCTGCCCGCCGCGCGTGGCGGCGGGGGCCGCTCCTCCGCTCGGCGGCACGGCATGTGGCGGTGTCACAAGACAAGATTCATCCAGAGCGCTCTTACACGAGGAGGGGGATGCTGCGG